AAAAAAAAAAGGGGAATCCCTTTAGGATTCCCTAAGGGGAATCCCGCAAGGGATTAGTGTCATTAAAAACAACTCGAATTTAGGATGGACGGTTAAACAAAGGTCTTTTCAAATTAAATTGCATGAGAAAGATTTAGATTTATTAAAAAAAATTCAAAGTTATTTTGGTGTGGGTTATTTAAGTAAACCTGCATCCAATATGATTCAATATCGTGTTCAAGCCGTTAAAGATTTAAAAGTTATTTTCCAGCATTTCGATAAATATCCGCTAATTTCACAAAAACAAGGTGATTATCTTTTATTTAAAAATGTTCTTGATTTAATTGAGAATAAAGAACATCTTACAATGGAAGGATTACGGAAAATTTTAGCTGTTAAAGCTTCAATGAATAATGGTCTATCGGATGTGTTGAAAGTCGCCTTTCCGGGAATTGTTCCAGTAAACCGAGATAAAATACCAATATCAGTTTCTTCTATTAACCCTTATTGATTAGCCGGATTTGTGTTGTTTTTTTTGACGTTATTTCTTTCAGAAATAACTAAAAAAAAACTAGGAGAAGGTTGTTTTTTAGTTAGCATCAAAGCTTCTAAAACGACCTCTTTGAAGAAGGCTGTACAATTAAAATTTAAAATATGTCAACATAAACGTGATGAACAATTATTGATAAATATAGTCGACTTCTTAGGTTTCGGACGTATTTATAAAGTTAATGAGGCGGGTATTGAAATCTTAGTTACCAAGTTTACGGATATAATTAATCTTCTTGCACTATTTAAAGAGTATCCTTTACAAGGAGCTAAATCCAAAGATTGGTTGGATTTTTGCACAATAGTTGAATTGATGCAGAATAAGGCTCATTTAAGTGCATCTGGTTTAGATCAAATATGTAAAATCAAAGCTGGCATGAATACAGGTAGAGAATTACTTTAATAAATTTTCCCTCTATTTGCTTATAGTAAGACAATATTTAGTAGGGTGGGTGGGAAAGGTAACTAATCTTGTTTATTGTTGGTATCGGTATAATTTTAGGAGACGGATTCTTAGATAGAGTTAAACCTAGTCATAATACAAGACTACGTATAGAGCAATCATATCCTGAAAAGGAGAGATATTTAAGAAGTTTATATGAATTATTTGAACCCATTACTACTATGAGTCCTACAATTTTAACAAGGAAAGATAAACGTAGCGGTACTACGACTCAATCTCTTTATTTTAGGACTTTAGCTATGCCTTGTTTAAATCATTATTATGATTTATTTTACAAGGAAAGAGTTAAAGTTATACCTAGAAACTTGAGTACGTTATTAACAGCTAGAGGGTTAGCTTACTGAATCATGGACGATGGGGGTAAATCAGTATATAACCAAACTATGTTGCACACTAGATCTTTTATGCTTGAAGAGGTTAAATATCTTCAATCTGTTTTATCTGAAAACTTTGGTTTAGTTACCAGATTAGAAGAAAAGAAAAAAGATAAGTGAGTTATATATATCCCTGTAAGACAAGTGACTAAACTTAAAGATATTGTAGGGCCTTATATGAACGAGAGTATGTTATATAAGATATAAAAATAAATATTATTTATGATAATTTTCCATAGTTAGTGATATTATATTTAGAAAATCAAAATAGTTTCATAAAACATGAAACCTGTATTATACAGGAGAATAAATAGACTAAAATTCTTAAGATAAAAATTGGAATTTTAGTGTCACTAGCTACATCATTGAAAACGATCAAAGAGATTTTAAATAAATTTAAAAGATCGTCGGTTATATTTTGGATCGCTATCGACTAGTACAATGATGGGTACCTGAAATGGTGCTTAATGAATAGTCAGAATCTTTATATATAATATACTAGGGCTTTAAGTAAATCCTAATAGGTTTTAAAGTACAGGAGTTAATAAATTGATTATTTAGATATCAATTTACGTAACTTAAGATTTGGTTGGGGTTTGTTCATATCTTTTAGTATGTTTCTGATTTACTAGAATAGCAGCAAATCAAAGTTCTCTTTCAGCCTTTTTAACTAACAGAGTAGGTGACTGTTTTTTAACTATAGGTATGTTTGCGATTTTATGAGCGTTTGGTAAGACAGAAAAAAGTAAAGTTTCTAAATGTGAGAATAGTTATGGTTGCGTTCCTAAAAAGAATAGATCTATTTATCACCATTCAATAAGAAAATATTCTACAAGTAAAGTATCAAGTAATTATTCAGTTGGACCCTACTTAGCTGGATTAATAGAAGGAGATGGGTACATTGGTGTTCAGAACCCAGACTCTAAAACTAATGTGATTTATAGACCAAAAATTCTTATTGCTTTTAATATTAATGATAAACCTTTAGCTGAAAAATTATCTGCTGAATTAGAAGTAGGTAAAGTTATTAATAGAGAAAAAGCAGGTCATGTCATATTACAAATTTTAGCTAAAGAAGAAGTTTTAAAGATAATTCACTTAATAAATGGATACATGCGTACACCAAAAATAGAAGCTTTGCATAGAGCTATTTGTTGAATAAATGAAAAAGATAGTACTACTATACCTTGTCTAGGTTTAGATTTATCCTCTTTAGATAGTAATAGTTGATTGGCAGGGTTTACAGACGCTGACGGTAATTTTGCTATAACAGTATATGATAGAAAGAAAAATGGAGTCTTTTTAAGAACAAGTGTTCAACCTTTTTTTCGTATAGAAGTTAAACAAAATTATTCTAGGGAAGTTGCTGAAAATAATGGAGGTGCTAGTTATTTTAATATTTTAACTAAAATATCTGCCTTTTTTACTGTTAATCTCTATACTAGAACTCGAGAAAGAGAAGATAAAGTCTTTTATTCTTTTATGGCGGTGGCTCATAACTCCAGAAGTCATGAAATTGTTCGTAAATATTTCGATAACTTCCCACTACGTTCTTCTAAGTATCTAGCATATAAAGACTGATGTACGGTTCAAGATCTTAATAAAGGAGGTCTAACTAAAGAGAAGTTGGATAAGATAAAAATTATAAAAAATAATTTTAATAGTAAAAGGAAACAATTTAATTTTTCACATTTAGATTCTTTACATTTTAAATAAATTGCCGTGGGCAGTAGTGATATTACCCTTATTATATAACTGTATCGCTGGAAACTCCTAAAGTCATTTTATAGGATATTGTGAAAACATCCTTTTTAGATGCGTACACAGACCATAAACATTAAAATGAATAGATCTTATTGTTTAATAAGTGAAAATGGACAATCAGCAGGAAACATTAAATATATACATAGTATATATCGAGGATCCTCAGAGACTGCGCGTTATACACCCTTTTTGTTTTTTTAAGAAACTAAAGATCAATATATAGGGTGAAGATACAGTCCAATTATAGCTGAAAGGCTATAAGTAAATTGAATTTAGATTATGCAACTGTATTCTCATTAGCTCCATACATGAATGAAAATGTTGTTACTATTGTAGGTATATGTTTATTAATTGGAGCTATGGCTAAAAGTTCTCAAATAGGACTTCACGTATGACTACCTATGGCGATGGAGGGTTTGAATAGGGCCTTCCTTAAACTTCACTATATGCGGGAACATCCCGTTTTTATATTATGGTCCACTGTTTACTTTGTAAGCTTCGGAAAAATCCAGAATGAGGGACAATCCGCAGGAAACCACATGAATAATTTGGGCTCTTCAGAGACTACACGTGAAGCAATTACATTAGATTATAAAAAAATTTTTGAAGGATGGTTAATAGGATTTGCTGAAGGAGATGGAGGATTTAGTATAGACAAAAGAGGTTATTTAGTGTTTAAAGTAACACAATCTAGCGTAGATGCACAAGTACTATTCTACATTAAAAAAGAATTAGGCTTTGGATCCGTAACAGTACAAAGCAAATTAAACAAAACTCATCAGTATAGAGTTAGAGATAAAGATAATCTTTTAAAAATAATAAATATATTCAATGGTAACTTAATAACTAAAAATAAAAAATCTCAGTTTAAATCATGATTAGAAGCTTTTAATTTAAAATATAAAACGAATATTATACATATAGAATCAAATGAAAAAGTAAATCTATGTAATGCATGATTATCTGGATTTACAGATGCAGAAGGATGTTTCACTAGTTCTGCCTATTTAAGTAAAACAGGTAAACATATAGTTACTGTAAGATACGTAATCTCTCAAAAAGATGATGTGGAATTTAGTAAACTCCTTGCTAACCTAATAGATGGTTATGTAACACATATAAAAAGCTATGATGGTTATAATACTGTAGTTAATTTTGGTAAACTTAATAAAATATTAAATTATTTACACAATTATCCTCTTAAAACTAAAAAACATGTTTCATACTTGAGATGGTTAAAAGTATATCATCTGGTTAAAGATAAAAAACATTTAACTGAATCAGGTATAGAAATCATAAAAGATAAAATTAAATTCATAAACAAATAATGTAATTGATGATATAGTCCGAACAATAACGTGAGTTGTTGAGTATTTGTGCCGTATTAGTGTAGACATTGATCTACATATAGCATAAATCAACCGTTTTGCCTACACCCGTTTCGGCATTAATACACGCTGCCACTATGGTTAAACATAGCCGTTGATTAACGTGAGTTAATCAATTATGATATCACTGTTTGCTGGGATCACCTTACATCAAGTTTATTTATATTTTAAGTTTACCCTTAGATAAGATAAATAAGAAAATCTTGTGTTTTAGAAGAGGTTTTTCTATTCTAAAAGGGGTTAATCAGCAGGAAACGTCGTCAGATGACGATGGATCCTCAGAGGCTACACGTGATATAACTTATGAATTTAATGAATTTTCTAATTTAATACCTCAACATAAAAAAAAAGTCAACAAACAGTTTTTACAATGATTCATAGGTTTTACAGAGGGAGATGGTTCTTTTATTGTATCTAAGGATAAAATCTATTTTGATATAACTCAAAGTATTTCGGATATACAAGTTCTTTATTATATAAAAAAAGAACTAGGATTTGGTAAAATTTTAATGAGGAAGGAGGGAAATAGAAATGTAGGAGTTTTTTATGTTTCTTCAAAAGAAAACTTTACTAGATTAATTCATATATTTAATGGTAATTTATGCACTCATTATAAAAAAGAACAATTTAAAGTATGATTAACTACATATAACAAACAATATCATATGGAGATTCCTTTTAAAGATAAGTTAGTTAAACCTAGTTTACATTCAGGTTGAATATCTGGCTTTGTAGACGCAGAAGGTTGTTTTTATGGTAGAGTTAAGAATTGTTCTACATCCAAACTTAGAAGAGCTCCGCATTTAACATTTCAAGTTTCTCAAAAAGAATTTGATATTATTAAAACACTTCGTGATGTATTTTTAAATACTGATTCTTTAGATTTAAAAAATGTTAGCTACGATAAAAGTTGAGATGGTTGAATTTTTCATTGTTCATCTTTTACTAAACTTAAGGTTATCATAAATTACTTTTCTAGATACAAATTAAAAACAAAAAAATCTCTTTCATTTACTAAATGATGTAAAATACATGATATGGTATTAAATAAGAAACATCTTACGTTAGAAGGACTAAATAAAATAGATCTTTTAACGAAAGACGTCAATAAATTTATAAGTTAAAGATATAGTCCGATCCATGTCTAAAGATATGGCGCGCTATCCCTTATAGTTAAGGATAGCCAACACAAATGTACGGCAGGTGTTTACCTATTAATGCGTTCATCTCCTTTAATTGAATACAGCTCAACAGTTTTAATGTTATGTCTATGATTAGGTGCTATTACAACAGTATTTAGTTCTCTAATTGGTTTATTCCAACAAGATATTAAAAAAGTTATTGCTTATTCTACAATGAGCCAGCTTGGAATGATGGTTATAGCTGTAGGTCTATCTTCTTATAACGTGGCATTATTCCATTTAGTTAATCATGCATTCTATAAAGCATTATTATTCTTAGGTGCTGGAGCAGTAATTCATGCTGTAGCAGATAATCAAGACTTTAGAAGATATGGTGGATTAAGACCATTTTTACCACTTACTTATTCAGTTATGCTTATAGCTTCTTTAAGTTTAGTAGCTTTCCCTTTTATGACAGGGTTCTATTCAAAAGATTTTATTCTTGAGTCCGCTTACGGTCAGTATTATTTCTCTGGTACTGTTGTATATATAATAGCTACTATAGGAGCAATGTTTACTACATTATATTCTGTAAAAGTGTTGTATTTAACATTCTTAACTAATCCTAATGGACCTTTAATCAATTATGAAAAAGCACATGAAGGTGATATCTTTATGAGCCTACCTTTAATGATTTTAGCTGTATTCTCTATATTCTTTGGGTATATTACAAAGGATATGTTTATAGGATTGGGTTCAGGATTCTTTTCGGATAATGCTTTATTTATACATCCTTCTCATGAGATAATGTTAGATACTGAATTTGGAGTACCAACTCTATTTAAGTTATTACCTTTAATATTCACTATTTCATTAAGTGTAATTGCTATAGTGTTATCTGAATACTTATCTACTATATTAATTGGTTTTAAATCATCTAGAGTGGGTTACAACATATTTAGTTTCTTTAACCAACGTTTCTTAATAGAGCTATTTTATAACAGATACATTACAGGTATCGTATTAAAACTTGGTGGACAAACTACTAAAGTAATAGATAAAGGATCTGTAGAGTATTTAGGACCTTACGGGCTAGAGAAAGGACTATTGAATATAAGTAATAACATTGCTAGATTAAATACTGGTGTTATTACATCTTATGCATTATATATCTTAATAGGGTTAATCGCTTATCTTTTATTTAGTTCATATATTAATAGTTCTAATATTATATTAGTATTAGTTATCTCTTTATCCTTAGCATTGTTTCAAAGTAGAGAATAATCTATTACCTTCCAAGGTGTTGTTTTACAAAGTTCTGTAAAACTAGATGAGGCTATTGAGAAATTGGAAGAATATGTTGAGAAAATACCTGGTGTTAATGGTTTGGCAGAAGAGGCAGGTAAAGATGTTTACAAAATAGCTAGTTTGATAGAAGAAAAAACAAAAGAACTGAAAAGTTTGAAAAGAGAAGTAGATAAAATAGCAGACTCAGAGCTAAGCCAGCCATCTGTTTCAGCAGAGACAGTTGAGGTTATTAAAATGATTAAAGAAGATGCTGCGAAAGCACTAATAGATGGTGCAACAAATCTTCAGCAAGGTATGGATGCTGCTAGTACTTTATTTTAATGATTATACACAGAATAGTATAATAACGGTTAAATTACCATTAACTTGTTATGTTGTAGGACTATATTAGCTAATCACATAACAAATCCCAGTAGATCTATCTTTAGAGTTAGCTGGAAAATTGCAGTTACCTGATGTAAAAGGCAATTAGGGGAGAAGATAAACAGATGTTTAATAAAGCCCTTTTATCTTCCCCCGTATGGGGGAGGAAAAATAAAAAGAGAATGATAGGGATTCACTCTATTAGGAGAGCATTCGGGTTTTCTTTTTAGTTTATAAAAAGAAGAAGGTTTAATCTTCGAATCTTTTATTTTATTTACTTATTATGTATATGCTTATACACTATAAAATCATTATTTATTCTAAAATATATAACCTGCCCAAGTTAAATAGATAATTACCTTGATTTATTAAAATAAACTTTTATATGTAATTTTAATATCATATTTTTTAAATTTAAAATGTTATATTTTCCAACGATTATTTCTGTTCTTGAAGTATTGGCTGTTACTGTACCTGTTTTACTAACAGTAGCTTTTGTAACTATAGCTGAGAGAAAAACAATGGCTAGTATGCAAAGAAGATTGGGACCTAATGCAGTGGGTTGTTTAACATGAAATCTTACACATAAAAGAACTTTTCATTCTTCTTGTGATGCTTTGAGTGAATGATACTGTAATAGAAAAAGCCCCCGTTATTGAATTTTCGGATGATGTGCTTTTTACTTCTACTAATTTACTTAATCCATCTGTGATTCTATCTTTCTTTAAATCTTTAAAAGGTAAAGTTGTAAGTGAATGTAAAGATTTATTATCTCCAATTACTCTTAGTACATCTTTTAATGGTTTAAAATATATTCCCTTTAATCGTCTTCCTTTATTAGTCAAATTAAGAAATGTTAGACACTTTAATACTTTTAACAAAGAGTTTATAGAGTGACTACGTGGATTTGTAGACAGTGAAGGAAGTTTTTATATTGAACCCAACAATAAGGGTCGTTCTTATAGATTTAATTTCCAAATAGTGTTGCATGTAGATGACATAAAAGTACTACATTTTATTAAGAGTAATCTTGGTATAGGAGAAGTTAGAGAAAGAGGTACGAATGCTACTTTTACTATAAGGACTCAACAAGATATAGTCAAATTAATAGATATTTTTTCTAAATATCCATTAAACTCTGTTTGGACCCCCTCTCTCTCAGAGAGAGGGGGGCCTAAAAAATATCTAGATTTTTCCGATTTTAAAAGAGCATTTGAACTATATACTAGCTCTTATATAAAATCTCCTGAGTTAATTTTAGAAATAATCCGAATTAAGGATAGTATGAACAAAGGTAGAACGAATTTTTCTATGCCTAGCGAACATAATTATCGAATAACTCCTTATTGATTACTTGGATTTGTAGAAGGTGATGGTTCATTTTTCATTCGAAGAAAGAATTATCAATTGTATTTTTCTATTGTTCAACATTCTCTCCTGCGGAGCTCCTTAGAGCTCCTGCGGAGCTCCCTAACTTTTTTTTTACATATATTATGATATATTAAAAAAAAAGTAAATGGGAGAGGGACTTTGAATTAATGAATAAAATTGGGGATTTTCTATATGATTTACCTTTTATTAATAAACAAACAATGCGGAAAAGTAGTATAAGAATAAGCGAGTCTTCCTAATTTTTTTTTTTTATTATTTATCATAGATAAATAATAAAAAAAAATAACCAGTCGTTTTACCATCTTCACCTGACGGCGAGAACGGCTATAAAAACCCTGTTACTTATCTAATAATTGATCACACTGATTTAATAAAACATGTAATTATTCCTTTTTTTAGCTCTATGACATGACGTAGTAAAAAATTATTGGATTTTGAAGATTTCACCTTAGTATTTAAGTTGAAACAACAAGGCCATCACTATACCCATGAGGGAAAATTTTTAATAGATTCCTTTATAGGACAAATGAATAACAATAGACTTTCAACCTCAGGTGGCTTGCCTAGAGAAGACAGGGAGTTATTAATTACGCAAGCCAAAATAATTTTACAAGCCCCCTCTAATTATAAAAAAGAGAAAGGGAAAACTTTTATTATATCTGAGAATAAATGACTAACTGTTAGAAAAGGTGTATTCTATGAAATTGCTGATCTTAACGGTAATGTTGTTACTACATGTAATTCAATTACAGCTATTATGGATTTTCTAGAAGTGTCTCGTTATATAGTTTTAAAAAGATTAGAGGACTAAATAAAATTTCTAGCCCTTGTTTTTTTTCTAGGCCCCCTCTCTCTCAGAGAGAGGGGTCCAAACAGTTATGAAATAACGTCGAAAAAAAACTAGGGGCTGACCCTTTGGGAAGACCCCCGATGGGGCTCATCCCGGCAGGGATAGTTATTTCTTTGAAATAACGTCGAAATTTTATAAGAGCCGGTTTTGTAAGTAAAGGAGGATCGTTTAGTAACGATCCAAGAATTAGAAAGCTAGACTATTTTTACTTAGCGGTTATTTACAAGACAGGTGAAATGGGTCATATTACAGGACGGGCGACAGGATATATGTTTAGATACAAAAAAGACCCTAAAGGTTTTTATATAGGGAGAACTAAAGACTTTCACAAAAGATTTAAAGATCATTTGAGTTCTAACTTAAAGGATAGATTTCATAAATTTGCTAATTCAATTGGTTGAGATCAATTTGAATTTTCTATTATAGAGATATGTGATCTTAGCATCCAACAAGATAGAGAAGATTTTTACTTGCAAAAATACTTACCTTTATTAAATACTATCTTTAAAAGTAATTTTAGTGAAATACAATCTTATGACTCTTTATATGAGATATTAAGACTTAGACAGTCAAAATTTGATTCAGATAATAAAGATTTATACCTTTATGTTTATGAATATTGTAATAATCAAATTAGTACTAATTATCTACTATTTAGTAGCATAAGTGCGTCATCAAAAGAATATGGTATAGCTAGAGAAACAATTAGTGTTTATTTAAATACTTATGTACCCTACAAAAATCTCTTATTTTTAACTAATAAAATGGAATGTTTTGATTTAGCAGGAAAACTAGTTAGTGATGCTATGCAAGGATTAAATTTAAATCATAATATAGCTAAAAAAATATGGATGTATTTTATAGAATCAAAAGATACTGTTGTTAAAACAGAATTAGAGTCTAAAAGTGCAGTAGCTAAATTATTAGCCCCGGGTCGTCAGGGTATAGCCCTGAAGACTGGGGCTGCGGAGCCGGTGTACAACATTTAGTTATAACTAATCATCTAGATAAACTAATAAAAGGAGGTATTAATGGTCATTATATATTTAATCATGAATTAAATGATTTAGAGTTGGAAAAACTAATTGAATTCTCATGGTTAAGAAAAACGAGAAATCGTACAGTATGAGCTTATAATGCTATAACTTTAGAATTCATTACTGATTCATTTAATAGTATTCAAAAAGCAGCTGAATTTTTTAATGTTGATTACAGATCTGTTGTTAGACACTTAGATACTGAATTAGCTACTAAAAAAGGCAATTATTTAGTGTTATTTTTTAATGATAAATTGACTGATTTAAAAGAACTACTAAATAATTTAAAATTAGCCAAAAATGAGACTACTGAAATTTGAGTTTATAAAAAATTAGATGATAAATTCATTCTAATGAATTCCAATGAAACTGGTTTTAGTTCAAAACATTTAGCAGCTAAAGAATTAAGTCATAAAACAATTAGTAAATTTTTGAATACTCATAAAGACTATAAAGGTTTGTATTTTTACAGTATTAAATTGTAAGATAAAAAGTAAAGTGTAAGAAACTTTATTAGGCCCATCAGTGAAAGAGAACCTTTTGCTATAAACCATCCAATGGACGGGAACACCTTAAAGCTATTTCAACTAAATGTATTAGGTAACTAAATACATGGCCCAGGTAATGACTCGGGGTATAGTAAAATCGAAATAGATGTATGAAAAGAAATAGGCGACCCGCAGCCAAGTACCTATTATCTTAGGTATGCAGTTCATCGACTAAACGGTGGTTGGCATAAAATTTTTGCAATTTTATGCTTAAGATATAGTCAGACCCTGCTTGAGAAAGTACAGGGTATAAATATTTATATTTATACCTGGAAATGGATAGTTACACTATTTAGGGAGAAATCCTCAATTCTTTACCTGTATTATGTATAATAAATGGTTAAATGAGGACATTCGTGATATGGTCTACTTCAAGCATTTGCCGACGCTCTTAAACTTTTATTAAAAGAGTATGTTTCTCCTACACAAGCCAATATAGTATTATTTTTCCTTGGTCCGGTTATAACTTTAATCTTCTCATTACTTGGATATGCAGTAATACCTTAGGACTATAGGGTAATATAGACAAATTCCGGGTAACCCCTAAAGCTTCTGGTACCAAACTTCAAACGAAAGTTTGAAAGTGGCTGAAGTAATTACTCAGGTAAGGTAATAAGCCAGATGATTCTAGTTACTTTTTAGGTTTCCTAGGCTACGTAGGCTATAAATAATAGCCTACATATGCTTACTCCGTATGCTTAATTCTGCAAAACTTAGTAGCATAAATAAGTGAACTAGGGACTAGTAATAGGAATGGGCAATCGCGGATCTAAATCAGTTGTAAGATATTATTCTGCAGTTGTAAAAGAGCAACGAGTAAACGTCTATAGATATTTACAATATCCACAGCTATCCTTTTGGGATGGTCCCCTTCAGGGGTCCAGACCTAAAGGTCAGTCCCCCTTTTGGGGACTAGGAGAATCCACCCCTCCGGGGTGGATGTTTGTAATATATTTAAGATGTATTCTAATGAGCTTAGTAATAAGCTATGATTTTTTGTAGAAAAATTTTATACGATTCACCATTAATTGGTTTTAATTCTTTAAACGTTAATACTCGTCGTTATTATGCTACATTAAGTAATAATAAACATAAGATTAACGATCTACAAATCGATCCTTGATTTATTACAGGGTTTAGCGACGGTGAAGGTTGTTTTTCTTGCAGTGTCTTAAAAAGTTCCTCTTATAAATTTGGTTGAGAAGTTCAACCAATTTTTCAAATTAAACTACATATTAGAGATTATCCGCTTTTATTAAGAATCCAACGTAGTTTAGGTGGAATTGGTACTGTAAGTAGTAACCAGTCTTCTTGTGCCTTTAGAGTCAAAAAATTAAGTCAGCTAATAGAATTAATTCTATTTTTTGATAAATATCCTTTAATATCTCGAAAAAGAGGAGATTATTTATTATTTAAACAAATTCTATCTATTATTCAATTGAAAGAACATTTGACTTTACAAGGTTTACAAAAGATTATTAATATAAAAGCAACCTTAAACTTTGGTTTATCAAAAGAATTACAATGAATGTCCCCCGAAACTGTTCCAGTTCCCCGTCCTTTAAGAGAAACCTGTGTAATACCACATTCACAGTGAATAGCTGGGTTTACTTCAGCTGAAGGTAATTTTTCTGTTTCTTTAGACAAGGGTATCTTTAAATCTCTATTATTTAAAATAACTCAGCATGAAAAAGATGAGGTATTATTAACTGCAATTAAAGAATATTTTAATTGTGGATATTGTTATTTAAGAAAAAAAGAAAATACAATAGATTTTAAAGTTACAAAATTTTCTGTCGTTAATGAAATAATTATACCTTTCTTTATTAAAAATCCGATTCTAGGTGTTAAATCCCTCTCCCATTTACTTTTTTTTTAATATATCATAATATATGTAAAAAAAAAGTTAGGGAGCTCCTTAGAGCTCCTGCGGAGCTCCGCAGGAGAGATTTTAATGATTGATGCTTAGTTTCGGACATAGTAAATAAAAAAGAACATAAATTAGAAGAAGGTGCCTTAAAAATAATTGAAATTCAAGGGGGAATGAACAGGGGGAGAAGTAAGTAAATTTTTTTTACTAAAAACTTTTTTTTGTATGGTCCTGGTTTAGTGTTACTAGATTATAATTTGGGTATATTATATATGTTGGCTGTGTCTTCATTAGCTACATATGGAATTCTGCTGGCTGGATTAGTAATTAGTCCCACACTCCCGTGAGGGAGTTGTTGAAAATCGGGTGAATTTCGAGAAAGACTTACTTTAAGTCAACTCGAAGCGAAACATGTATTTATTTTCTTAGCATGCCTTAGGGTTATATTTTTCCACCTTGGGGTGGGAAAATGGTGCATAAGAGTGTACTACTGTATAAAGTCCTTAGTGTACTTTATAACAAAGTCCTCTTATTTTAAACATGAACGTTCAACGACTAGTAGATGAGTATATAAGAAATACAATAATTCTACCACGAGCGCCCGAAGTCTTGTTTTATTTTTTATTTTATGATCAAAACTTTTATTTCAAATAAAACCTTACAATTGTTTATGGCCTGACTTTGTTTTTTACTTTTTTTATATATAGCGGAAATTAGTCCTTATTGTGATTATATTTATAGCAGTAGTGTTTTCATGTCTTTTCCAATACGAACTAAATTAGATATAAGAAAATATTATACTACCATTGTTACTGAGAATGACAATATCGAAGATTTACAAGCTTTACACTCAATATACATAAGAGAACTATACAAAGATAGGGAGGCTCCAGTAATACCTTTTGATCGTGATTTAATTTTAGCAACTTGTCACCATTGTTTAGACAAGAATAAAAAATCTGAGTTTTTAAAAGAGTGAGGAAATAAAGGCTGTATTTACATCATAGAATATAAGTACAACCCTTTTATTTATTACATAGGTAGAACAACTATGTTTAAAAGAAGATTTAGTAATCATCTTTTAGCTGATTCTAATAGCAAACTACATGTCTTTTTGAAGTTAGTTGGTTGGGAACATTTCAACATTTCTATTTTAGAGGTTTGTTCTTCTGAAGAACAGGGAGCAAGAGAGAATTACTACCTTCAGAAATACTTACCTTTATTGAATACTACTTTTTCTTCAAGATTTTCCGAATCTGCTATTTATTCAAGTTTAACTAGTAAATTAGCCGCTCTCAAATCTACTTCTGATTCTCATGTATCTGGTCAATCTATCCCTGTTTATGTGTATGAGGTATATGAAACATATATAGATAAAATATGTGTTAAATATAGTAGTATTATGGAAGCTAGCCGTAGTGAAAAGATTGCTAGAGGTACTTTAGGTATGTTTAGAGATACTAATGTACCGTTTAGAAATAAGCTATACTACTCGAAACCTATTATAGATTTTGAATTAACATTTAATTTATTTAAAACTGCATCTAGTGGTTTAAATCTTAATAGTAATATAGCTAAACAGGTTTGAGTTTACAATGCCAAAACCCTAGAATTCGTAAAAGGTAGCCCCTTTCCTTCTAAAACCCAAGCATCCGTTTCTGTGGGTATTAGTCGTAATGTAATAACCTATTTTATAGATACTTGGAAAGCAGAAGGAGTGAAAGGTACTTATTTATTTAGTAGACCACTTGAAGCTAAAGAAGTGGAAAATCTTATTGAATATTCACATACACTAGAACTGGGTAATAAAATAAAAGTTTGAGCTTATAATGCTAAAACACTTGAATTAGTTAATAATTCACCATTTTCTAGTTTACTTTCAGCTGCTAATCATTTCAAAGTTAATTATCGTACCATCACTAGGCATTTGGACACGAAATTAGCTAGTTCTCAAAATAAAATTCTTGTATATTTTTTACAAAAGAAATAGATTCAGTTCTAAAAAATGAACTTTTGAAAAACATGAATAAAGCTCACTATACTCGTACTGAGATCTGGGTGTATAGATTGGATGAGTATGGAGTTTTAAATTTAATACCCAATCAACCATTTAAAACTAAACGGGAAGCTATTCGTGCTCTTAAGATTCACATAACTGTATTGAATAAATATTTGGATTCTTCTGAAATATACAAAGGGTTTCTTATCTTCAGCTCTCCACAAAATTCTTAGGATAAACTTGAATAGACGAAATATATATAAACGTAAAACCTTAGTCACAGTTCCATTCTTTTTTGTATGTTTAGCATAGAAGGCTTATAACCTAATCTACTAGCTTAATGATCAAAATATGTATATAAACAAGACTATGATATAGTCTGAGCCATCTTGTAAGAGATGGAAGTAAAAAAATAAAGAGATTTTGCTAAAACAATACTGGGTCAGCTAATTCTAAATATGCTTTCTTAGGGTCTTTAAGAAGTACAGCTCAATTAATTAGTTATGAATTAATTTTAAGTTCTGCTATACTTTTAGTTGTATTATTAGCAGGTAGCTTAGACATAACTGTTATTATAGAAGCTCAAAGAGCTATTTGATATGCAGTACCTTTATTTCCTATATTCATTGTATTTTTCATAGGATCTATAGCAGAAACAAATAGAGCACCTTTTGACTTGGCAGAGGCTACTGATTTGGTCTCTTTAAAGATCACCATATGCTGAAAACCCCCTTTTTCGACCTTTTCTATTAATTAATAAAAGGGACAATCAGCAGGAAATTTAACATATAGTATGTTATAATCCTCAGAGACTACACGTGGTCATTTAATGTAAGTATTTATGTTAAATAAGATATAGTCCAATTTTGTATGAAAATACAAAATAAATAAAAATTGAAATTAAATTCAAACATTCATCCTACTGTGCTTACCTTAGAGGTAAGTAACATAACTCATGTAGCTTATATTACCAAACCTAAGCAAAAAGTTTGAACGGTAGCTAGCCGTAGACATTATTCTACTTCAAATTCAAATCCTCCATCATTTGATCTATATCCTGTTCCTATTTTAATTCTTGATGATTTAGATAATAAAGATTGCATTACATCTTATAGAGAATTATTAAAAGGCAAAGCAGGTATTTATTCTTTTATTAACACTGAAAATGGTAATCAGTACATCGGAAGTGTCAAAGACTTTTATTTAAGGCTTAATGAACATCTGAACAATAAAAAGTCTAACGTTGCTTTACAAAAATCATTTGTTAAGTATGGCTTAGATAAATTTCATTTTTATATATATGAACATTTTACATATCAAAGTAAAATTATAAGTTCTAAAGCTTTAACTGATTTGGAAACCAGTTATATAAAAAAATTTCATTTTGATACTCTTTATAATTTTAAGGCTAATGCTACAAGCTCATTAGGTTATAAACATACTGAAGAAGCTAGACTAAAGATGAAAGAGTATTATAAAAATAAGACAAATCATCCTATGTTTGGTAAAACTCATAGTAAAAAAGCGCTAGCTTTAATCAGTAAACCTGGTGAGTTAAATCCAATGTTTGGAAGAAAACACAGTGAAGTAACTAGATTTATAATAAGTGAAAGAAAGAGTAAATACCCTTTAGGTGTA